CCTGGCAAGGGCTGCCTCCCTCAACGACCACGGCGACAATCCGATCCTGGAACATTGCCAGAGCCTCAAGCTGTCGGTCGTGAATTTCCTCGACTGGGCCCAGCTCGATCAGGCCAGGCCAGCGCGATCTCAGCACCCGGCGAGCCCCTTTATCGACCTCGCTGCTCATGTAGCCTACGATGTCGAAACCAGCGCGCACCAGCGACACAGCAGCGCCGCCGATGCCGTCAAACAAGCTCACCAACAGGACGCGCGGCGGAGCCCCTGGGGCGATCCTGGTCGGCTCGATCGTGCACGAGCCGGTGTAGCTGGCAATGCGATGGCCGCAGGTCCCATGGCTCCCGAGAAATGCCAGAAACTTCGCGGCCCCCTCTGCGAGCCCCACGGCCGTGCACATACCAGCACCGTCCTCGCTGGCGTCAGAGCACGAAACGATGCTCGTGGTAGCGGCCCTCAGGTTGGTGGAGGCGAGGGGCATCAGCAGGCAGCTGTGCATCAGCTCGTCCAGGCTGGCCCTGGTCAACACAGTACGGCCCGAGCCAATCTGCTCCCACACCGAGTTGAACACCCCGAAGAGAGGACGTCGAAACTCTAGCGCCCTCACCCAACGTCCCATGAGAATGAGGAGCTGGTTCCCGAGGGGGTTCTCTCTTGTCAGGAGCCGCATGGTAAGGCTGTACAGCTGCACGTTCTTTATCCGATTGTTGGCGGCCCTGCCTGAGATCCCGTCCACCTCTACACCCATCCGCGTGACCAAGAGCTGCCTTTGGTTGGCTTTGTCCACGCTGATGGGGATTGCATTCCGCTGGTAGCTCTCCCTCATCAGGGCCTGCAGGCGGCCAGGAGTGCCCACCTTCGCGAGCGCCTCCTTGCACCCAGCCGTCTCGCAGTTATCGAAGTCGTCGATGTGCACACTCCACCACTCGCGAGGGCCCTCATGAGACAGGGGAGCAGCTGCAGCGGCGGGGATAGGACGGTCGCGCCGCCACTCCAGGTCAGCTGGGAGGGCGGCGCCAGCAGTGCGACCCAGAAGCGCAACCCGCCGGTGGACGCTCTGGAAAATGGGGGCGCTGTACACCCAGCCCATGGGCAGCGCTGTCATGGCCAGCCACACCTCCTTGGCCTTCATGCCAAGAACATGGCCGGGGACTGGGGTGCAGATCGCCATGTAGCCCAGCCGCGGCGCAGGGATACGGTACATGAAGAAAGCTCCCTTCTGGTCGTCCCCACTCCAGAGCAGCACCTCCTCGGGGCCAAGGGAGATGCTTACCCACGCCGGCGAGGGTACAAGAGTCAAGCCCCCTGCCAACGGTCGAAGGTACGTACTCGTCAGGACCATGTTGAACATCAAACGTGTCACTCTGGCCTCTCCCTCAGCTGGGGACCCCGACTTTGTCACAGCAAACAACTCATTTGTTACGCGACGGCCGCGGGCCACAAAGATGCGCTCAGCTGGTATAGGGGCCAGCAGTCCACGCTCCGCCAGCTTGGCAGCGATGGCCCACCAGTCCTCCAGCTTCTCGACGTTGACCTTGGCTTCGGAGGCGACTCGGGCCACTCGGCCACCGGCAAGAGCGACATCTCGGGTTTGGTGAGCACCTCCTTGAGCTCTGGCCCCGCATAGTCCAGCACGTCCAAGCGGCCGATATCTTCGGCTTTGGGAAGGCCGGGCTCAAGCTCGCCGAACTTCAAGGGGAGCGCCCGACAGTCCTCCTCCAGATCGTAGCTCGACTTCGTCTTCTTCATCTCCTGAGGCCAGAACGGGACGTCCACCGCCGCCAACGCGTCGCCCACGCGCCACTCGACCGTCTCGCCGATCACACGCAGGCTGGCGGCCTGCACCTCAGAAAGGCGCCCGGCTGCTTCCCAGCGGTCCTTGCTCAGGTGCCCAAGGTAAAGGTAGTTCAGGCCCAGCGCGCTCAGGAAAGTCCACACCTCGACCGCCATGGATTGGGCCTCCTTCTTTAGAGCAGCTGGCCACTTCGTAACATCCACGGGGGATCCCTCACCGTCCAACATTCCTCTTCTCTTCAGATCACGTTCCCAGGCGAAAAAGGTTGCCAGCTCCCTTACTGGCAGGGGCAGCACATCGCGCCCGACACCAGCCTCCGGCGATTGTGGCGCGACGCTCACAGGGAACCTTCTAGCGAAATCTCCAATGCAACTTGGTATTCTCCTGACACTGGTGAGGATCCCGAAACCGATCTCCAGCATTGTCATTTGGCTTGGGCCGCTGCGGCACATGCGCGAGGCGATGTCCGCCTTCCACTGGCCCAACGTCAGCGCGGCCACCTCGCTGCCGATAGCCGCGTCACTCATCGCGCTCAATGCTTCAGCACGACCCGCCTCTGCGGCTCGCTCGGCTTCGCCGCGTTCTTGACCGACGCCCGGCGCTTGTAGAACTGCGACGCGATCCTCTTCTTCAACTGCCGCCTGGGCCCCCCCTCGGCACGCGGAGTCTTCGCGCGCGCCGCCGCCCGCGCTGACAGGGGCTTCCCGTCCACCGCCTGGGGGGCCGGGCGGTCTGCCAGCGCGGGCAAGCCGCCCCCCGACGGGGGATCGGCGCGGCCCGCCTCCAGGGCAGGAGCACGACCCCTGGGCGGCTGCACTCCCGAGCGGCTGCGCAACTCTGCGGCGTCCGCGGCAGTGCCGATGTGGGTGGTCGGCAACGCTCTGCTGTCCGGGCTTCCACCACGGCTCGGGCCTGCAGGGCGGTCGGCCAAGCTCTCGCCGCCGCCCCGGCCAGACCCCTATATAGCCGCGGCCCCCGAGGCGCCCGAGCAGCTGGGCCATGCGCACCTCGGCGGCCTCGATGCCCGTGACGAGCTCCTCGTCCTCAACTGAGAGGCTCAATGCACCATTGTCGGGGGGGATGAGCTCGAACCACTTCGCCGTCCTCGAATGGCCATCCCGCATGGTCTTCTGGATAGCCTTGATCCTGCAGAAGATGAAGTCCAGGGCGTGAATGGGCTTGCCTGAGACTATGAGGTCCGCACTCTCCGCGAGCGTCCGCAGCTCGCGGTACCGGTCCTCGCCAATCTCACGAATGGGGTGCGCGGGCTTCAGCACCCGGAGCAAGAACTTGAGCGCCACGGGGCCATGCTTGTTCACACCTCCAGCATCATCATGGTCCAGAAACTGCGCCATGTTCTCCATCTCCCTCTCCGAGAGGCGCCCTGGATGCTTCTCCGCTATCTTCTTGTACGCGAGGCGGCGGGCCGCCACAGGGCGCCCGCCAGGGACGCGATCATCATCACTGTCAAACAGGCCGTCGTCGTCGTCGCCCTTCTGAGTCAGGTACTCGGCGAGCGTCTTCAGCACTGCCCGCTCGCCTGAGCCGCGAGCACGACTGCCATCTGCTGGACCAGCAGCGGCAGCACTCGGCGCCTGTCCAGTCATCCTCGCCTGGACCACCTCGCCGAGCTTGGCCTTCTTGGTGGGTGCGGCGGCCGTGGCCCCGCCCGCAGCGGCCTCCGGGCCGCGCACTGTCGCGAGCTTCTCCCGCAACTTGTTGAGGCGCTCCAGGTAGCCGTCCTTCGCCGAGCTCTTCGTGCCCTCGGACTTGCCTGAGAGCGCTGCGAGCTCCCTGTCGAGCTCAGCGGAGGCGTCCGCGTCCGCCTCGTCGGCCTCCTCGTCGCCGTCGAGCTCCACCAGGTCGCCCCCAGCCTTGCCTACGCCGGCGGGGCGCTTCCTGGCCGGACCAGCGAAAGCGGCGCGACTCGGCGGCGGCCCCTCGTCCTCCTCAGCGGCCTCAGCCTCATCTAAGGCGGCCTGAGCGACATCAGCCGGCAGCTCGGGGCAATCCTCATCGTGCTGGAGCACTGCCATGTGCCGCTCGGCTGCCTGAGCGGCCGTGAGCCTCTGGGGCGCTCTGGTGTGGAACACCTGGCACCCCGCCCGCGGTGCCGTGTAGCGACATCGCGAGACTGGCCCACGGCACACGTGTAAGATCATTTTCTCTCGCTTCGCAATCCGTGAGTTAAGCCACCATGACAGGTATTGGTCTCCAGCAGCAAAGTATTCCACTTCGTAGGCGGTGCCCCCTGGGTTGTCCGACATCACTCTGCGCACCACGCCAACCACAGAGCCCGCGTCGGACCCGTCATCATGCAAGACGGGATGTCGGAAGCACTCGCCCGGCATCAGCACTGTCGGGCGTTCGTCCGCCATCAGCACCTGATCGGACGAGCACCAGTCGAGGTCAGGGGGCGCGGAAAGGTGTACGGTCAGAGTGCCTGAAGCGCTCGAGCTCCAGACCGCAGGACCTGACCTGCAGCGCAGCCGCTTGAGCCGTACACCTACGGAACGATCGAGCGAAGGAGTGTTCACCCTGAGCTCTCTCGAGGCCCGTCGGGCGAACACTATATCACCTGCTCGCTCGACGGCGGCGCTTTGCCTAAGAGGTCCAAACATACGCCCAACCCCGAGGGTGTTATGTTACATTCACAATTTCCCCAGGGGGTTATCAGGTTCGGCCTCGCCGCCCCTCTCCACTATCAAACCCGATTGACACAATCAAATCCTATTGACACGCCCATCATGCATCGCAGCGATGCTTCCTTCAAGCCAATCGGGCGATTTTCTGTGAGGACCCAGCACGCCCACTTTGAGCTTCGCCCAGCCCGTCTGGGACTTCCTAGTTGTCTGCTCTCGGGAGGCGACCAGTGGCCCCATTTCCCCGCGCGCCGTGGGTCAGGATGACGTGCGTTCAAAAGACAACTCCCTCTAACTACACTCCTTCTCCTGCTTGTCCTCATCCCTCTCGTCGCTGTTCTCCTCCCTAATTACCAAGACCAGATGTTTTCGGCACGTCTGCTAGCAGATGCATGAAAAACGGGCCGAGCATGCGGCCTGGAAGACTGATCCAACACCACTGAGTGGCAAGCTATAGGCCGCTATGTGGTTCAAGGCAGGGCGAGCTGCGCCCAGATTAGCTTGCCTGGGAGCCGACTGTCTCGGGCACTATGCATCCACTCGCCGACATGTGCGGGAGGGCCGAGCTAAATCAAGCCACGAGGGTCGACAGGCCGGACGTAGACGAAGTACTCCCCGTCGTCATCCGCCACAATCCTCATGTCCTGATCTAGATACTTCAGCGTGACCCCGCACGTGGGCTTCTTGCCGCTGTTCCAAGGCAGCTGTTGCCAGATCTGATTCACGGGCACGCGCTGTCCAATGAGGGAAGGCAAACTTGTCAACCCTGGCACCTCGCGGGCCTCGTTCGCGGACTGAAACACCACGGGGGCGGCAGGAGGGGATGCCGGGCCATCGCCAGACCCTTGGGAGGAAACCCAACTGAAAGCAAACCGCGACAAGCCTTCCACCCGCGAAAAGCCGATCGACCCCCTTCTCATTACCCCCCAGTGGCCCTCCTCTACACTCTACACCCCCGTGTGCAAGAGTGGGTGGACCAAAACACGCATCAACGCTTAGCCTCTCTGTGGGAAGTGGGGTGGTCGCGAGGAAAAGAAACCTCTCCCCCAAACTCCGAACTCTGCGGGCATGGTTTGTCCGCAGGCTGGGGGGGTCCGAGCTCCCCGCGCCATCTTTGACCCCAGGGTCTGCCAAGGGGATCGTGGCGACTGTCGCGAATGACTATCGTGTCTCTGATGTGGCCCGCCCGGGGAGGAGCACCCTCTTCCTGCTTCGCACCATGTTCCTGCTTCTCGTCATTCTCCTCCTCGTTCTCGTACTCGTCCGCGTCCTCCCCCCTCGTCCTCGTCCTGTTTGACTATCGTTGTCCACCCACCGTGCCCCCCCCCTGGAGCATCGGTCAACCGACCTCGGTATACTGCACCTCCATGGCCAGCCGGTCGCCCACGAGCTCGACGTCCGAGGCTGTGACGACGCAGCCTCCGAAGGTGGGCAGCAGCTTCCAGAAGCCCACGATGGGGATGGTGGTCATCGACAGCAGGGAGGTGTCGAATTCGCTGTACAGCTTGCCCTCCGTGCTGTTGATGTACTGGGCCACACGGCCCACCTTGGAGATGCCCAAGAGCCGTCCCCCCTCGGGACCCCCTGAGGACCCCACGGAGAGTCCATGTGGGATCCTCATAGGGTCTGCTGCTCCTTGGCGATCCGGGAGGAGGCGGAGGAGCAGGAGGGAGACGAGGAGGCCACCCGCCCCGCCTTGGAGATGCCCCAGGACATGACCTGCAGCTCGTGGAGCTTGAAGAACAGGTCCGAGGACTCCCTGCTCCCGAAGGCCTCCTGCACGGCCAAGAAGAAGGGCGAGGACCGGAAAATGCCGTGCTTCACCGTGGAGAGCACGAGCTCCCACTCGCCGTCCATCGCAGAGAGGCTCCCTGGCACGGGCGGTGCCTGCGCCACCAGCTCGTCCACGAGCACGCGGGCCACGTCGAGGCGCTCCCCGTAGTACTCGCCCGAGGTAGGGTTGTGCGCCTGCCCACGATCGAGGGAGGCGGCCATGCTCAGGAGCTTCACCTTCAGCCCCAGCACGCTCTCTGCAGGCGGCGCCGCCACGGCCGGCGCCGCGGGTACGGCGTCGGTCACGGAGAGCGCTGCAGCGGCGGCCTTCCTCGGCGCTCGCAGCGGCGCTGGGGCGGCGCCGCTGGCGCCGCGTGCGAACGCTCCCGGCGTGGCGCGAGAGGCGCGCTTCGCCAGCAGGAGCACCACAAAGGCCGCCAAGGCGACCGGGACGAGGCGCTGGCGGGACGGCCGCCCGCCGCTCGCCGGCATCTCCGCCGCGGCAGCCGCGGGACGACTGTCTCGAAACGACTCGGCCGCGGGCCCGAGCCTGGGTGGCCAGAGCCTCGAGCCACAGAAACAGAAGCACGTTCCACTTCTCCCCCAGCTAGGGTCCGCGAGTCGCTCCCAAGAGCCGTCCCACACCCAGCACTGATGTGCGATGAGAGGATCAGCAGAAGTGGAAATCCCAAGTAGCAAAGCTTTAGCACAGTGGCGGCATTGCCGCACACTTCTACGCCATCATCCTGCAACCCCACCCCATAGGGTGGCCCTTTCCGGGGGGGAGGCACCGGGAGGTCCTCTGAAGGCCCCTGGAAGTCCCAGAGCACTCCTCGAATACCAGGAGTACGCTGGAAGCCCAGGTCAGGCTTCTGTATCCCTCCCTCTGGATAAGCGGGCTGTCTCACACATCTCTTGACCATCCCACTGGAGTTTGCACAAACATCTCACGGTTCGGCACGACCTAAGTAAGCAATGCATTAGGAGTTGTATTTGAATCACGTGCTAAAGCCTTTCGAGGGCTTTGCGTTGTACCACGTCGTATTCACGTCTGGAAGGGCGATGCTGGCGAGGGTCCAATCACTGGGGCCACAGCAGGTTTCAGAAGAGCCTCAGATGTCCTTGGAAGATCCCAGGAAGCCACCAGGGGCTCCCGAAAGCTCTGGACGCAAACTGGGAGCCCTGGAGGCTAAGAGTGCCTTGCGCCTCGCCAGGGGTGTGCCGTTCCATGCAGTATTCCTGTGAGGTCGTGCTATACCGGGTGATTGACGCAGAGCGCTGCACGTGCCCACATATCGCTCTGTGGAGTGCTGGCACCACCAGCATACTCAGAGTAGCCTCTCAGAAAATCGCTCGAATTTGGGACTCGTAGGGGACCACCCAGACAGACAGGAACCGCCACAAGAGGAGGATGCTGACGTCATCGAAGGCCTGGTAAGCTTTCGAGCGAAGTCTGAGTGGAGTCATATTAAGGTCCGAATCGAGTCGTGTCTGTAGTCATCTTCCTCGCCACGGCACAGCGCCGTAGACCCCAAACACGCGCGTAGGTCGCAGCCTCCAAGGCCGCTGCGGAAGCTCTGCATGGGCCCCTGGAGGTCGATACAGGCCCAGCCGCCTGAGGAGGCGGTGTCTCCCCCCTTGGGCCCATGTGCTCGCTGATCGGGGCCAACCGGAACGCGCAAGCGTCCACAGCACCGCCTCGGAACCCCCCTCTTTGTTCGACCCCACATGGCCTCCTCCCCACTCCTTCTCGCCTCCCTACTCTTCCCTGCTCCTCCTCCTTTTCCTCCCCTCCACCCCGGCCATTTCGCGGCCAAGCGTCCCCCCCCTGCACAGGGCACGCGCGGGCATCTCGAATGCCAACTTCGAAGTAGCCATGCGCTCGAGGGCCGCCGACACAAATAAGCACGGTTCCCATCGCCAGCAGCTACAATGCTGAGACCAGGAGCGCGCGCAACCGCAGAGAGCCCCCTCCTCCCCCCCCTCCCCCCCTCCTACCCCTCCTCCCCACGTCCGCCGCGGCGTCGCTGCGAGGGTGCGAACAACTTTGCTGTGTCGGACCGCCCACCCGGCCCACTTTTTTAGCTGGCGGCGTTGAGCCAACGCCACCGGGAGGAGAGCCCTGGCCAGCCCCATCTGGGGCACCAAGGGCCAGGAACTCAAGTCCTCCCTGGACGTTGGGCAATGCATTATGCAGTCCCCAAGCCGATTATCACAGGCGAGAGCAAGGCTGTCATGCAAATCGTGCTTTGAATTTCGGCCTGGCGAGAAAGCTTCTACTACCAATGGTCGGATGAGAGATCATCAACCAGGTGTGGGCGGGGGGGAAGGCGAAGTGTGCGACGCGCCTGAAGCCAAAACGGCCACGGCGCGGCAAACGCACACACGCAATTCGCTCTCTCTTCCCGCCCGCCCCCCAAGACATCACCTGGTTGTTACTTCTGCTCCTGCGGATCCGGTACAACAACCTTGCTGTGTCGGACCGCCCACCCGGCCCACTTTTTCAGCTGGCGGCGTTGAGCCAACGCCACCAGGAGGAGAGCCCTGGCCAGCCCCATCTGGGGCACCAAGGGCCAGAAACCCAAGTCCCCCTGATGGCTCGCCAACCCCTGCATCTGGCAGGCGTGACGCCTTTTTTTGCGTTCGCCTCTGTACTACGGAAAACAGCGCTCGCAAAGATCCTTGGGCAACGCCGGCAATGATGGGACCAACTTGGCGGTGCAGCCTAATGTGAACTACCATGAGCATCGCGCCACCCCGGCGCCAGATGGCCCTTGCGGATCAATGAGCACAGAACGGATGATGCCAGACCGCGTGTTGACTACAAACGAAGGTCCTCCAAGCCCAATGTCGCGGACGACGTCAGGAGACTGCAACGCGCGTATCTCCAGGGGCAAGAGGGACATGAGGTGCCTGGCGCCTTCCTCTAGAGCCCCCACGCGCACTTGCAATGAGTTCAACTGTGAGCCAAGATCTCCGCTGGGGCCGAGCGCCGCAGAGCTGCTGTCTCCGCGAGGCACAGCCGAACACGTCGCTGCCAGGTCCTCCAAGGTGGTGCGCGACGGCCGGGCCTCCAAGGGCACGCCGCACGACGCCCTCCGCGCCCACGTGGTGGAAGACTGGGGGGAGCGGCTCGAATGTACTCCAGCACTGCCAGCGAGCCCCAGCGGCCAAGCAACTGAATAGCCCAGGTGTCCAAGACTGTGGAAAGACCTTGTGCACCAGAAACCCGCAAGGAAAGACCGGTCCAACAGTTCAAACCATCGGTTGAATGGGCAAGAAGCCCTAGGTGCGCGGCAGCTGCCCGAATCGTAGCCGCGACTGCAACGCCTTCCTTCGTGCACGGTCTGCCATTCTCGTCCGGGAACAAAGGTCAGCTAACGAATGGCGCGACTGCGGCGTCATGGCGGTCTGGGAACCAGCTGCGGAGTGCGGCCCTCTGCTGCCACAGGGCATGAACCAGACACATGCGGCTGAATCGCCCTGTATTGCAAGTGCATCCGCGTTTGCGCTCCTGGCCGTAAGCCCCCTGGTCGGCTGTGGAGACGGGCAAGCACCACGCGGCCATGAGGCAGTCCAGACTGCCGCTGAATGCTGTCAAACACGCCCTGGCATTAGACAGCTCCGTCTCCCGACAGAGCCACCACGTTCCAGCGATGATGGCACGCTTCGGAGCCATCGGCCCGCCAGCCGCCCATGGAACGTCACCATCTGGCAGGTCCGCCAACAAATCCATCGGAAGGCCTTCGACAGTATGAGGTGGCCCGAGGCCGCGTTCACAGGCCCTCTTGGCATCGCGCAGGGCCCGAAGCACCGATGGCGGCAACGCCTGGTCATTGCGCTCCGCCGCCTGCTTGGCAGCGGACAGATACTGCGACGCTGATCTGTACTTGCTCGCCTTCAGAGACGCTCCCAAACATCGCACTGAATGCCTCGTCAGTGGGAGCAGGGGGAGACCCCAAAACTCGAGGAGCCGGATCACGGTGCGCAAGGCTGAACACTGCGCTGCCATGGTGCCCGGGGCGTAGACCGCGGAGTCGCAGTCCGTCAAGGCGACGTCCCGGCTGCCGGCGCTGGACAAATCGGGCACTGACCCTCCCTCGTATCTCTGCCTCCCTGGAGCTCCAGACCGCAGCCCAGAGTAGGGGAGAGAACCAAACTCCCCTGACCCCAAAGATGCGCCCCCCCCGGACGAAGACCCCACACGGCCAATATCCAGGGCAGCGGCAAGCCCTAGATGAGTGGGAGAAGCACCCGAGGGGAGCGAACCCCTCGCCGAATTCCCCGTTTGCCGCTTGCGGCCCAGAACGGCCTCGGCGAGATCATGCCGCGGCCTGCGCACATACATTCGGCCGGGGACGGGGTGGGCAGGGCGCGAGCCTGGCTTGGGCGAAAGCGGCCGCCTTGGCGCACAAAGGAGATGAGGGGCCCGCACGGACAAGTACCAACGTCCGTGAGTGACACTCCGAGGATGGGCTGGTATCCCCCGAGACTGAACTCGGGGCAGCCGTCCTCGGGGATGACCTGGCACTCCCCGAATCACGACCCACGCGGTTCCAGCGCAAGGCGTCCTGCGCCTGGCCTGAGCCAGAAGACATGCCGTGACACACGCGCACACAGACACTCACACAGCACACCTGTGTTGCCAACGTGCGGCGGCGGCGCACTGGGAACACCCACACCTATCGCCATCAGACTCCCAACCTCCTTAACGGCCACAGGGGGCGGGGGGCAAAGAGGGGCACGGAGGTCACGCACGACACGCCGGCGTCCACCCAGTTGCGTCCCCTTTCCACGAAACCCCAAGGCGAAGAATGGAACAGCCCTGCCCCACTACGACCACGGCTTTGAGCAGGCAAAGCTCGACTGTCACGGAATACCTCTCGGATGCGGCGTTCGTATGTCACGGAATACCTCTCGGAGCTGGCGTCCAAAGACAAATGTCGTCTGTGGCCTGCCCCCTCTTTCCCTATAATTGAGGAACAGGGGGGGGGGAGGGGGAGGAGGGAGGGAGGGGGAGAAGGGAGGAATGGGGGGAGGAGGGAAGGAGGGGGGGGGAGGGAGGACGAATATGATGGGAAGCCGGTCGCCTTGACCGGCTCCCCAAATCCCCGGCGGCAGCCAATCGCCTTTTCGCCGCTCAAAGCGGCCATGCTGAGCAAGCCGAAACTCCTCGAAATATAAGGGCCTAGAGAGATACCAATCCACAGGCCCAGGCGCCA